CTAACTTCTCTGCATTCTTTTCACTCACTGTTATTTGAAGTATTTATCTAATGCATTACAGTGGGTGATTCACTGAATTGTAAAGTATAGAATCTTCCAATAATAGAAACCAAAATGTTATGAAATAGGAGAATGTAGGTTGATATATAGAAAAAGAATGGTTATGAAAAAGTCATCCAGAAAGGATAGGCTTATTGTTTCCATTTATGAGGTTTGAGTCATTAGAAGAAAAATTAAAACTTTTCAAGCCTGTTGGATATTTCTCACATTTCTTTTACTTTCTGCTTTTTCCTCAAACAACACAAAATTCCAATGATGCTATTTGATGGTTTGCCACTCTCAGATCACTCTGTGATCTCAGGAAGCTACAAGGTGACAGAAAATAACTGAGGTGTCTCAAGGGCCATGGGTTATAGGTTGCCTGTTCCACTCTTAATCAGTCTGTTCAGGAATATTTGGACACTTCCTGTCAGCATTTCTTGCAGTCATGGAAATGGTTTTATAATTTATATAGAAGTTGCATGATTATTCCCAACTCCTGGGGATGCATGCTGTCTAAGCAGCTTCTGCTTCATTGTCTCTAACCCCTTGTGTTTAACCTGCATCTTTGTTTTGTAAGCTCTGTCTGTCTGTCTCTGTGTGTGTGAGAGAGAGAGAGAAAGAGAGAGAGAGAAAGAGGGAGGGAGGGAGGGGGGGAGGGAGAGAGAGAGAGAGAGAAATGGATTATTGTCAATAGAATTTTCTTTCAGAGTGTTAGAAGTTAAAAACCACCCCTCTCCTAGGAAAATGAAATATTTTAGGATATACTAAAAAGGCTGAATATTTCCCCTATAAAGAAAAGTAGAAACTCAGAGGCACCCACCTTTGCTAATGGGCCATTACTCTGGCCTGGGCCAGTATATTTTACATAACAAATATCTACTCCAGCTAGAGCCATAATAGGAATTGCCCAAAGCCCTTTCATTACATCATCATCCAGCAAGGCTCAACCAAGCCTGGGACTCAGGACAGCCTACAGAGTTGCCCCTGCATGGCCCCATGGGAGTCTGACAACCAATCAGGATATAAGCTCAAATTCAAATCCCAACAGAGGGCATAAACCAAGAGTCTCTCAGCATCTTGGCTCTTCTTCTTTTCCTTCACTCAACATCTTGAAGCATGTGATCGTCATTTTCACTTTGGAGCTCCAAGCCATGTGGTCCTCTCTACCATTAAACCATCTTTCCAAGCAGTCACCATGTTTCCAGTATCTTTCTTCCCCACTTAGAACTGAACCCAGAAGGATATTTCTTCCAACAAGAGGTAGACCAGAGGAACTTTTCATCATTAGACATGGCTTTACTCTATGTCTTAAATACAAAAAGTGACACATAAATAAATACAACAATCAGTGGGAGGTATTTCATTATTTATTTTAAAATAAGGCTTTTGTTTAAATTAGTGCAATTCAATGGGACTCAGAACTCTTTTTGAACATGGAAGGATAGTAATGGATTTTTAAAAAGCAGAAAATGCTTTTTAGAGGAATAAGTTGCATTTTGCTCCTTGCAGATAAATGCATGCTTTCCAGCTAATAATCATACATGGATTACTACATAGCATATTTGGCCTGTAAGTTGACAGGTTATATCTACTGACAATAAATGTGAATTAAGGGCCTCATTTCATTCTTAAATAAATAAGTAATATTTACCAAATAAGATACAGTATTAGAATGCATAAACAAAATACGCAAATGGAAATTATAAACACATCTGCATTTCAGTAGCTTTCTAAATATTCTGAAGGAACTTGCCTTTAATTAGTTTAAAAGCAAAAATGGATGCATATGATCTTTCCAATATGCCCCCAAGGCAAAGTACTTGAGAAAAGCTTTCTTGACTTAAGCACCAAGAAGATTTCAGTGGCTACTGCTTTAGTTCATATTGTATGTAAAATGACCTTTATTAATCCTAACAACATTCTAACTGTAAATAATGGTTTATTTAATTTATTTAATTAATTTTCTTTGTTCCCCTTAGCACTGTTGAAATAACTGTCTAAGCTGTTTACAAAATTATAAAAAGGTAGCATAAAGATTAAAGTTAACAAGATTAAATAGAAATGAAAAACCAAGAGAATGGTAACACGTGCAGATGGATTTTCTCTATAGCCCATCAGCCAGTGCCACCATACAGCACCTTATCAGGGTCCAGAGCAGACTGCAGAGCCAGATTTAAGGCTTCTCTGTCAGGCCAAAGGGGTGAGATTGGATCTCACTTCTGGTGGGAGTATATTCCAATTGGCAGGGGCCACAGAAAAAAAGGCTTCCCTCCTTGACTTCAATGTTATCCTTTTGTTTCTAAATGGCCAGTTTAGGCTGGTGATTTGATGTGAGCCCCTTTCTTTGAATCTGATGTCTTAATTATTACTTGTTCCAAAAATTATGTGGACTTCCATCATATATATTTTTTGTTCCCAATTAGTTGAAGAATACACTAACAAGCAAAAGGCATTACTAGCTAACTCCTCTACTTTAGCTAAATGGTATTGATGGGAAGTGTTGGGAAATATCCAGTCAAGTGGGAGAGAGTTCAAGCATGGAATTAGCCTTGAATATTTGTGTAGCTGCAACAGATTGACAACTGATCTATCCTTAACCTCCATTGAGCCTTATCTATCAGTTCTGGGAGATTCCTTATAATAGGATTATATAAAATTTATAATAGAATGGAGGAGTGGGGTGGGGTGGAGTGGAAATAGAATAGAATAGAACAAAATGGAACAGAATGGAACGGAACAGAACAGAACAGAACAGAATAGAATAGAATAGAATATGTAACAGAGTTGGAAGGGGCCTTGGAAGTCTTCTTGTCCAAACCCCTTCTTACACAGGAAACTCTACACCATTTCAGACAAATGGTAGTTGGCTTAAATCCCATACATGTGGATCTGGTTACTTGTGCATGACAGGAAGTGCTGTAGTAATCAATGTTTAATTTTAAGATTTGAGTTAGCCAGATAGTAACCAACAAATCATTAAACAAGACAGGATGAAAGCCATCTTTGTTGAATCAAGTGAAAATAAGAGTGAATCTATCTTGGTTAGGGGGAATCTGCAGGGACATCAAAAACATCAAGATGGTTACTACCACCATGTAGTTATAGCACATGTAAAAAGTGGAACAGAGCTTTCATTACATGGTTGTGGCTGTCATCTTGACTTTTTTTTTTACTCTAGCCCTGAAGACACTCCTGATCAATTTAAACCATACTTCAAGTTTTCTTTTCTTAGAAGACTCTCACAAGAGAAAGAAGAAACTAGAGGCCAATTCTAAGGGAAGAATCAAAGCAGCATTACAGGGGGATTGGGATGTACAACTGTCAGGATCCTGTCACACATATGAGCAGAGTGAAGATTTTCAGTTTTTACTACAATTTTGGGAAGGTTTATTTTTATTTTAAAAAATAAAATAAAGCCTATTGTATAGTTTGGGGAATACTTTTTTTGTATTTCCCAATTCAAAATGATCAGACAGTTTACCGCTAATTTAGTTGGTGGCATGTTCAGGGGGCATTCTGAGGTCTGTAAAATGTCACTGGAGAAAGTGTAAATTATTATTTTGGTTGTTTATTCCCAAGAAAGTTAGAAAAAAATTACAGAAGTAACAAACCACTTTGCCATGATATAATTACCAGAAGTCAAGCTTGAGTCTTTACAATGTGTGTGAGTGTGTGTATGTTTGTGTGTGTGTGTGAGAGAGAGAGAGAAAGAGAGGGAGGGAGGGAGGGATGGATAGACAGACAGACAGATGGGGAGATAGAAAGACAGATGATGGATTCCTCAAAAATCTTTCAAGGATTTCTCTCACCACCATAATTAAAAAGGCTTTATTTTTTTATTTAAAACCATATATCAACACAGGATAGGCAGAATTTTGCAGGCATCTGTCAATGAAAAAGAAATTAAGAGGAGTCATATAAAAATATGACAAGGGCAAATTCTGATTTTCAAGAAAAACACTCCTTCAGTTATTACCCACCTCATCACATAGACACACAGACACACACTTCTTTACCTGTGTCACCTCCTATGTATCCTACTCAACCTGCACCGCTTCTCTGGTAAATACCCACACACTCTTCCCAATCCACATAGCCCCTATTATGTATCGCATATACCATTTCTGACTGTACTATGCACAGCCTTCACTCCCTGTCTCACCTGCCTGCTGGCCTTGGATTTGTAATTTCCTGCTGGCCTCTTCTTTGTGGCAGTCCCTTAGATATTGGAACGCTGCTATCATGTCACTCCTAGTCCTTCTTTTCATAAAGCTAGACATAACTAATTCCTGCAACTGTTCTTCGTATGTTTTAGCTTCTAGTCCCTAATCATCTTTGTTGCTTTTCTCTTTTTATATCATGGCAAACCCAAACTGGATGCAATATTCCAAGTAAGGGCGATCTTACCAGGGCACTATAAAGTGGTACTAGTGGTTATAAAGTGGTTCTCCACTGATTTTATCCCTGCAAACTTCCCACGAACAAAATAAATAGGGAAGCGAAAAGAAATTCAAGGAGGGAGGGAGGGAGGGAGGGAGGGAGGGAAGGAAGGAAGAAAAATTTCTGATGCTTCCTGTCAGCTTCCCATGAGGAAACTGAGCAGGAAATCTTAGCAGGAAGTTAGACGTTGTTCCTGTTCCCACTGCATTTTTGCTGATCCTTGGTCATTCTGTTTCTCTGTTTAGATAAAGCAATATGTCTGAAAGGTTGATCCAACTTGGCATGGATTGTCCAATTTGATGTGAATACTTCTGGATCAATATGGCAGCCACTCAAGATATTGATTCATTGAACTGAAGGAACGAGATACTTCAGAATTCTATGAAATATGGAAAAAAATTACAATTGGAGGGATATGAAAGGAAGTCAAAAAATGTAAAATAGAAATTAAAGAAAGAGTTTAAACTACAATAAAATTTCTAAGATAGAAATGAATATAAAAATTTACAATGTAAAGATGTATATATATGTACTGTATATGTACTGTGTGTGTGTGTGTGTGTGTGTGTGTGTATTTATTAAGTTTTTGCGGGTACTTACATGTATGGTATTCAGCTTTGTTCGGGTATTTTCCCACATCATTATAGTTGTGCTTTTAAAGTTGTAGCAACGTTTTGGCAGAATCTCATCTGCCATCATCAGGCTTCTGTGTTGTATTCGTCTGTGAGTCAGACTTTCACAGCCGTTTCAGTTTTAAATTTGGGGCTAGCCTACTGCTATGCCAGAATGGCTTTTTCTTCATCCTGATTGGTTGGAAGTCTTGGTCTGTGTTTATTGGTCTTGGAGTTTGCTGTGTTCTGCTTGATTGGTG